CTTGTGGGGTTATCGCGAACTCATCTATATGGTATTTCAATCTCTGATGTTTTTTGTTTACTCTTGCAGGTGGCCCGCCAGTTAAATGTGTCCAGAAAGAAACTGGGCCTTGTTGGTGGCTCAACAAGGGGGTCAATACGTTGCTGTTTGGAGATCCGTGGGTTTGACAAAGCCTCAAAATATGACCATCTCAAAATGCAGAGCCTGCGCTGTCATAAATGACGCTGAGTCTATTTGCCCCATTGCAACCTGGGATTCGGAGGTGTTGACCCTAACGCCATCGGACCATGGGCCGCCCCTTGCTTCCCCATTGACCCCGGCGAACGTGTAGCGCCGATTGCGCGAATTCGATGGGTGCAGGCTCTTGTGTGTGCGACGCGGGCTGGACTGGGGCCAGCTGCGACATGGAGGCTCCGGGGCAAGTGATGCCGGCCCTTCACCAGCTCAGTGGTACGCTCTACAAATCGGTTCACCCCCACCAAAAAGATGACCCTCCTGTTTCTTTCTCCGGGTCACTGGGCTGCCCTTTTCACATTGGCTTAAAGGCGAACCACACGGGAAACCGCCAATTTGGGGGCGTGTTTTGACACACCACCATGAGGTTATCCCAGAGTTACTGGGATATGGGGGACTCAACAGAAAGTCCCGCAACAAACCAGCGGGGCTTGGAAGCCAGTGAATTTGACCGCGTTTAGCATGGATATGCAAAAGACCCTAGTTCCGCGTGTATGGGAAACCATCCCTCCCTGCAGCCAAGCCACCAATGCAAACGGCCACTTGGGCGTCCAAGCGACGCAGGTGGCTCCAGGCCTGCCGCGCCATGTCGGGGGCCCCAGAGGGCAGATTGCACCGGAAAACCGCGGAAGGAGCCCAACAAACATGGTCACCCCAAAGAGGTTCGAGAGTTTGTTGGGTTTCTGTAGGACCCATCCTCATCGGATGGGCCTGGCGCTTCTCTGGACAGCGACCAAGCGGCTAAGACAACTCGGAAACTTCGATGTGTCTCGACTGGAAGACTCTTTGGAGTAAAAAGAGCGCGCCTGTGGCTTGTGTTTGACCTGCGAGGTGGAAGTGAGCACCCTCCGCCTGGCGTGAGGGGAAGAACAAAAGCTGCGGGCAGCGGAGTGGAAGAGTTGGGGGCAGTCGGTGCTCTGTACGGCTTTTGCTTCCTTTTCCTTTTAAGGGCTGTCTTGTTTGGAGCAGATGACTCGTTCCTCAGGTTAAAACGTTTGGATCTGGACATGTACAAAAATCCTCTTAAGTGACTGCACACCCCCAGCTTTGCAGGAAGGGTTGATAGAATCGTCTTAGAAGGGATTATTAGAAGTGTTCCTAAATCTTTTCAGGTGGGCCCGACCATCAGACTCGTTGTCTGTCTCTATGCACCCAATCAATTTTATAACTTGCCATGGATCAGTTCTATGACAGTGAAAGAGTAGAGCAACTTCCATGTGCTTCTTGCTAATACTACGGATTCCCCAAACATTGCAAGTGACACTTCCTCTTCCCTTGCACTAGTTGGGGACCATCTGCTGGGCATGATGGTTGCCACCACCCCGAAAGGCCGGTGTCTATCGATTCCGTGGCCTCCCTGTGCCAGGCTCCGCACAAAGCAGCACGCTTCCTGAGACACGAGACGTCCGAGGGCCGTGGAGAGAGCTGCTGGGCCTTTGCGAAAAGCGGGCAAAATGCGGGCTGGGGCTGCTGGGGGCGGGTCGGCGTGTCAGTTTTGGCGTTTCCAAAATCAGGCTGCAGAATGGTGGCTTCCCTTTTGGTTTCCCTTTCAGACCACAAAACAGGGGGTAGCCTCAAACAAAGACACCAGATGGTTTCCAAAGCTGGGCCTCAAGCTGGTGGTCCTGTAGATCTCAACGTCTCCAACTTTTGGACGATATTCACCTCGGCCATGAATGCAGACCGATTCCTGGTTTGGAAGTTTCCTTTCTGGGTTTACGGTTGGGGCGGGGAATTGGTCGAATCTGGGTCTTTGAGCGGGACTTGGAGCAGACCACTGGTATTTTTGGCCACAGCCGATGCCTGATTCGCAAAGTGCAACTTTTCCATAAGCCTAAGTCACCTGGAGAGCTTGGCCGGCTGTGGCCTGTGGCTTGTCGCAACCTGGGACCTGCTTTTTGAATTTCTGCGTCAAACCTCCGGGGTTGCAACGGTCTCTCTTCAGGCCTCTTGGGCAAATATGGATGGGTCTTCTTTTGAGGGCTGGATTTCAATGGGAGACCATTTTTTCTTTTTTTCGGGTTCCGTCATTTTGAACCAAACGCACTGAATCGATAAATTGCCCTTTTTCCACCTTGGCTGGTCATTTTTTGGCATCCACTCGTCAGGATGTGTGGCAGCGGGTGCTCGACGCGCTCGCTTGGTTTGTTGCCCCGCTTGCTTCCAGATGGAAGCTCGGTCTAGTGGGTTGTGGGCAAAATGTGTCTTAAACCAAGATCCTGATCCCTTTAAAGGAAATCCCAAAGGGGAATGATTGAACACTGGTTTACACAGCAGACATGTTTAAACTGATTGGCGAAACCCTGGCACCCCGAGCGGCGCCGCGACTTTTGGCTCGAGCCAGAGGGTGGTGGCCAGAGGAACAGGAAACGGAGAATTTGCCCGCAATGGGCCGAGTGGTGCTGTTTGCGCAGGAGCTGAGTGGCGTGGGGGGGGTGGTGGATGGGATCTGGAATTGACCCTTTCCCCAATCGGGACCTATGCGATGGTCAGAAGACTTGGTCACTTCCGACAAACATTTCATCAACATTCAGGTTTGACCGTGCGACTTATCAAACTTATCAACTGATTGTCATGGAAATCTCCTCTTACTCTTCCGCTTGTCCGCTGGTTTGCCCTCCATGGCGGTTGTGACACATGACCAGAACCAGTGTTCTCTACGCGAGCAGCAATGGCTTGGTTTTCTATTTGGAGCGTGTGGAATGCACAAGATACCTTTTTGCATCCCCTCTGTTTGGCCACGAGTGGCTCCATAAGCTTGCCATCAGTCAGCCTTGAGTGGTAGGTTCGAAGAAGAACCTACTTCGATCCAACCTGAAAATGGAATGCATGGTTCAATGTCCATGCGCAATTTGCGGCTACCTCACGGCCAGCGGAAATGCGAAGCGACTGCAAGCTCATGAAGGTTCTTGAATCTTTCATAGGCTTAAACTGCCAAGGGGACACATCCATGCATGTTTGGGATGGGGCTACTCCCATCTTCTGAACCGACGACCTTGAGCCATGGTGGTTTCTCAACATGGATTTCGGACCCCCCCCTTTGATAGTTAAAGCGAAGCCAACAAAGTGAAAATCCCTTTGGGAGAAACCACCCCGCCCGAGGCAGGGTCTGGCGGTTTCTGAGCGTCTTGCAGGACGACCATGTGGCGGCTGAGTGCCTCGCGCCTGGCCCCCGGATCCATCCCGAGATGGGTCAGCGGGCTGACCCCCGGGCATGCCGCAGGGGTTTCCCAATGGGCGTGGACTGAATTGGGACCCTCAGGTGGACATCGGAATGTTGGCGGGAATTCAAGAATTCGTGTCCACCAACCTGGTTCCCCGTTACAAGTATCTTCCCCTGATGGCTTGTTTTGTAAGAGGTGCCCAGGTCCTCTTCTAGGACTCTCTTGTTGGAGCATGCCGTGATGGTAAATCATGATCCACTCATCCTCTGTTATAAGTCACGTGCGGATATCAGCCTCAAGGGACCTGCAGCATTTGACAAGCTTTTTACTGCTTCAGGTACTACGCGGAGTCAAGCCAGGTCGAAACACATGAAGCGACGAATCAGGGGGGGTGCTGAAGCAAAGTCCGGGCTGCCATACCTTCGGAACACACAAGGCTTGAAAGCGGGAAAGGGTGTGTCTGTTCGGCCCATCGCCCGGCAAGCTGTCCAGGATTTGGTAAGGGCTCGGAAAGGTTCTCAGATCCTTTCCAACAGGGTCCTAGGAATCTTTTTTTGGGCTTGGGGTTAGGTCAGCATGCAGTAAGCCAGAGGGTCGTTGGGGTGTTGAGTTCTCTCGCCCTGTTGTCTCATCTCCGCATGATCGTCAGGTGGATTGTGTACAGCTTGATATATTTCCCTCTCAGATCCGGCCGTGTGTCTTTGCTCATAGCGCCTGTGCTTCTTTGCCAACCTGCAGCTAGCCACGTGTCATGGATTCACGCTTTTGGCCCAAATTGGCTTGTGCGGCTTGTCATAGATCAGAGCCCCTCTTTGGGGACCATCAAAGGTGTCATTCTGTACCGCCCTTTGATTGGGGCACCATTTTGTCAATTTCATTTGGCATGTCTTTGTTCCAAAAGTTGTCCTGACATTTTCCACCGGAACCTTCGTCGACGATAGGTTGCTGAAACGACAGCTGTACAAAGAAGACTGACGGTTGCTTTTCCAATGGCCAGGATACATGCAAGCGGAACCAGGGTGAGAGTATATATATATACATGTATATTATAATTGCACGCAACCATACATATTCGAACGTGCCTCGACATCTGTACGCGCCATATTCAAATGTGAAACAGATGCCCAAACACACATCAACAGATAGCCACTTATACTACATCAAAACCGGATACAGAGATGATCATCACATATATATATATATATATGTATATGCACATGCGTAGATGTATATACGTACACATAAGTACAGATACCTACACCTAGCACATGCACATTCTGCATTTACAGCTTGGCTGGTTGCGCCTTCTCTAGGCCCCTGAGCGAAGGGCAGCACCGGGTCCTAGGCGTGGTTGGACAGCTTCAGTTGATGGTTTTTTGGAGGGACCCTTTTTCCTTGACAAACTTAACAGAGTTGGCGTGAATGTTGGATGGCTCAACTTTTCTCCACATTGGTTAAGTCTTCCGCTGTACTTACCCGCGCCAAGGGAGTTGTGCCATCTACTTCTGGTGTATTGACTCATAGCCACAATGGGGGGAGCCATGGCAGCCTACTCGTGACGAATAGTGACGTCTTTCGGGGCTAGGAAGGACCGTTAATGGCCAGAACCTTCTCATTTGAACAGCCTCCAACATGCGATGGCAGCGACCAAACGATTCCTATTTGTCGTTTTAGGCGGTTCTACCGTTTTAGTACTTGGTGTCATGGGGGATCCAGCAAGCCCTGCATAAACCCATATAAACCTGGAACTTTTTGGGGGCACATCAACGCTCAAGCTGTCGGCAAATACCAAAAAGCGACAATCGCGACAATGGAGGAAAGGCTTTTGGCCGGGTGTGCGTGTCGTTTTTGAAATCTGCCAAAGTGCTGTTTGAAGATGTTTGCAGAGGCTAGCCCAGCCCTGCCGTGAGGTTCCCCGGATAGGCTTCCGTGGATTGGATGCTCTCGGCTCGGGTTTTCGCAAGTTGAGTGATGCGTTGCTGGCCCCAGAGGTGCAAAATTTACGCGAGACCCTTTCTGTTGGAGCGGGTTTCCCTTTCAAGTCAACTACCCAAAAAGGGAAATCTAGGTTTCAGAGCCGGTCGCCGACGGCTTCGTGCTATGGTTTCAAAGATTCGTGTCTTCCTCCAATAACTGTTCTAAACATTGTCCGCATCCCCAGCTCAACTATGCAGGTCCGTTTTTTGGGATGAGCTTGGATGACCAGGGACGAACCCGTGCTTTCCCTTTGCGCAGCCGGGATTTTGATCTATATGGCTGTATTTTTTGAGGGTACCCCTTTGTTGGTGGTCTTAGCGGGAAACCAAAAGAAAGATCATTATTTTTGGGGGTCCCGCATCCATGAGTCAAGGTTCACTATGGACCCAACACACTTGGGCCGGGGGAAAAGGCTGTTGCCGTCGCTTGTTTCCCGCCAGGTGTGGGCAATGGCGTGGCCACCGCCATTTTTGCCAGGCCGGAAAGCAATTGGCTTGGCCACAAGAGCTCTGGCTTGGTGCGATTGCGGTGCTGACCGCTTGCTTTTTTTTTAGAAGGATGTGAAGAGTTCCCTCTTTTAAGTGGGACCCCCCCAATTCACGAACGGGGGGGCGGGTCCGCCTCGAAAAGTGACCACACCATTGAGTAAGTGGCGAAATAAGTCCACATGATCATGACTGAAGTGGGATGGCAAGTGCACTTTTTATGCCCCTTTCTAAACTGTAGAACGGCCGTAGCGGTCTTCACCCA